CCCCAAAACCCCAAAACCCCTAAGATAAATCATTGAAGGATTTTGTAATATTTAATAAAATTAATTATTCACCATCTGGCATTAAGATGCTCTACAACACCGAGTTAATCTTTAAATTAAATAATCCATCCATCGATATTACAAGACCCTGAATAAAGTCCATAAACTAAATTTTGAGTGATTCCATAAACTATTAGATGTATTCCATCCTCTGCAACTCCAAGAGGAGTAAATTTTACTTGGCACTCTCTATTTTTAAATATTTTCAAATTCAAATCCTTAATTGTACTAAATGTCTATGGCTGCATAATATTACTTTCTTCATACTCAATCTAGACTTAATCTATCTTGTAATGCTTCCCATTAATTAACACAAAATCCTCCATGAACTTATTACCATCATCAGGATTGAAACTAGAACCAATGCCATCTTAAAAGTTGAATGCAACAATCATATCATACTCTGGGAGATAGGCATTCATTATAGCCCAGATCCACTTGGTATCATAAAGTAAATGACCTCTGGCATTATCATATAATGTTAAGCAATCCTTATTGCTACTGTTACATTAGTACTCTTTGTCTTAATATTTATATGAACCATCAGTTAAGATTCCATATGTCTTTTTTGTGGTAAAATAATGAAGCATATCATCTGAAAGTGGCATAAAAAACACTTGGCTTTCTATACCTTGATCATGAACAATAAATTCGGCTGAGAAATTAATAGACTAAGCATCAATAGCAAATTTCAAATTCCCATCTTTTAAACGAATTACTTCTATAGAAAAATCTCCTTCTTTAGCGAACAAGTAATCTTGCCAATTTAAGGATTAGGTATCATAATTCCCACAATTAAGCAAGCCTGTTGTGATGATTTCCCTGCTCTCAACTATTTTTTACTGATTCTCTCTGGAATAAATTTGCACAGATATTTTGCAAGCAGGCCAAATGCTTGCTATTGGTATCTAGATCACATGATCCGGAGTTTAAATCATTACAAAATTCCAAGCTCTAAATTTCATATAACTTTGCTCTTGAGAGATGAAAGATGGTTTTGCATCCCGATAATTGATGATGAATTTGTCAGCAATATCATCAACAGTCCAGCCATTAAATTTAAGTTCCCCAGTTTATGTATCCAGGATCTTAACTTTTTCAGTTATTTTCTCATGTCCTGCTAATTTGACTTAGTTGATTCCTACTTTGTTTCGAATCAAACTTTATTTAAAGTGACTATTTAGCAAAAATAGAAGCAAGCCTACCAAGATACTGAGAAAGATAGATCCTTTAATGATAGAACTCAAATTCATGTTACAATTAATAGGATATTAAATAATCTCACTCTTATTCACTCATTTCAATGCACGGGGTTTTGGGGTTTTGGGGTTTTGGGGAGATCGGAAGAGCACACGTCTGA